ATATGCATGACCACAACAGGAAGCAGGTGAAGCTACAGAGCGTACAACTTTTACCCAGCATTGCTCTCTGCAGTTTCCACCTTTACAGCAAATAATGTCAATGTCTACTGCATCGATACCAGGGTCCCGAGGCTTCTTACTGGATCCTATTGCTGCACTCTTGGATAGGAATGCCAGTGAAATGGGTTAGCTGCAGTCTAATTGTAAAAAAAAAAAAATTAAAAAAAAGGGTTTGTTTCTGGGTCACATTGTAGACTGGCTGAGCAAATGTGTGTGGGGAGAGTGAAGATCTGCCTAGATCTACTCTTGTAAAAGCTAATAAGTCATCAGGACACAGACAGGAATGATGACTATGTGGAGCTATGATTAGTTTACTGCCATACGTTTACCAGAAGCAGACCCGAAACTAAAAAATGACTCAAGCTAGGATGTGTCAACATTTCCTCTCTTGCATGTTGACACACTGGTTCGGATATTCGCTAAAATACAATGTTGGTTTGAACCTTTAGAGATCCTTGAAGGCCCTCCAAGCTTTCCAAGATTGATTTCAATACATTTGTAAATTCTTGACCACAGGAAAAGTATGTGTGATAACATAATCTCTAAAAGCTTCACTTACAAATTTAACCTTTCATTTTCTGTCAAGGTTTTCTTCATTTTCACACTAAAAAGGTCACATAATGACACCTGAACTGAAAAACACAGTAAGACAACCTTTGACTTAAGATTATTTTGTCAAACTTTAAATTTGAGAAGATCATTGGTACCCAACTACCCAGCATCAATGATATCAGTGGGGCTGAGACTGCTTAATTCATTGCCAGCAGTAACACATTATGTAAAACTACGACCTGAATTTTATTGTACAATTACAGTTAAATAACCTTGTATCTTTGTAAATGAGTGAACACAGTAGGTTACACACATGCTAACACCGACAGATAACCAGTCACTCACAATCATAACCTGAGGGCAATTTAGAGTCGTGTCTTTGAATTGTGGGAGGAAATTGGCACAACCAGGGGAAACCCATGCAACAGTAGAGGAAACCAGCAAAGTAAGCAGCCTCCTCATGTGCACTACTCCAGGCAAGATATGACATGGGAGGAGTCTTCCTGCCCCTTCTTTATAAACTCTTTTCCAACCAACATAACATAAAACATTTTGGTCTCTCGATTGGAGTTCGTGCAAAACGTGATATTCAGCACCTGATAGGAGAAAGTCCATTGAGCTGCTTCTAAAGAAACAGAATGAGTCAGCAGCTACCCAGAAATATTAATATAAATAAGTCCATCTATTTTGTAATTTTTGGAGAAGAAGGCTTTAACGGTACAAAGGAAAACCTATATTTTTACATATTTTACAGGGTAACTTTGTGCTATAGAGACGTTACCACTGGTCAAACGCAGGCTTCCTACACTGTTGCTGAACCATCCAAACCACAAAGACTTTCCAAAGGAAACCAGAGCATTTTTTCTCAGACCATGTCTACAGATCAGTCTATAATTGTGGAAGTGAAAATGGGTACAAAAATGTTTTAAAAGTGCCAAGTGGTGTGTCGAGAATTTGCTGTGAAAAAAAGGGAACAGTTATTTTAGATAAGTATTGGTTCTTTGCCAGTATCATATCTGAATAAAAGAAACACAATTCTGAACCTACACAGTTTGTAGCCGGGTCCTCTGCTGTTACCCTTTTTTTCTTAACTTTCATTTACTGTATCTACTCTAATTAAGTGTGCACAGTAATAAAACAACCATAGTACTGGTGCAGCAAAACACTGAACCTTTATGCTCTACAATCAAAATGGTCTGTTATGCTACATTTGAACTCAACTTTAGATCTCCAAAATCAAACTACTAACACGTACACATCACAAATTAAACATAAACTGTTACATACTGTGGGTATGCACAGGTTTGCAGTTACCTTGCGTTGAGACCCCAAGGCAACTGTAAACAGCTTTAGTTGTGTAAGAGGAAAACAGGGAAGGCTCTGTTTGAAGCCTCGCTCCCTGTGGGGAATCCTCCGGAGACATACAGGCTTGTGCTGCCTTGTGATGCCAGAGGTTTCTCCAGGACTTATACCGCTGCAGCACTTAAAGGCTACAACATTTAAAGAGAGTTTATCTCACAATTAAATAAGGTTAGCTGAGCTTGTTTCTCTGATCCAGACGTCTGATGACTAAAATTCTTCAGCCAGTTAAAATATATAGTTAACGACCAAGATCTAAAAAGCGTATCTTAAAAATGTGGCCTAAAACTGGATAAAAACGCTGAAAGGGAATGTGACACCTTTGGGACACATTTGGGATAATGTCAGTACACAATTCAACAAAATATATAACATAAGTTTAGTGTTTATAGACATTTTAATGCTTTTAATCTTTAAAAGGAGGTTAATTATGTATTCCATGGATTTACTAAAACTGCAGGTTTAAATGGTACATTAAAAAAATACAGTTGTGGTGGGGATAAGAAAATGGAATTAACCATTGTTTTATAGAAATCTAAGAGTGAATATCTATAAATATCTGCAGTGTATGCATGGTGAGAAGTTGAATTTTGTCACAGTGACCAAAAAGTATCATCACAGTTTATCACTGAACATGGAAAATCTTCAAATGGTCCAGTAAGGAAGACTAAAAGTCTTTAATCTGTGACAATGGTGATAATGTGGGTGTATTCTTACATTAAAATCTTACTGAATGCAGCTGCAGATCACAGCTGTTGTCTCTAGTAGTTCACTCAGACAGACGCAGACATAGGGCAGGGCAGAGGAGGGTAACTTTAAAAGGGACAGATTGAGTTTAGCCCTCTGGGACTGGGGCGGCACGTCTGCATGGCGCACAGCCTCTCTGCCCCGGCTAGACAGCAGCAGGACGGCAGAGGTGAAAGAAGACGCGGAGATTAAATGTGAATTTAAGACAGAGAGCGGGTGACAGAGAGACTAAGCCATTTCTCAGCTTTCATAACACAGAATCTTACATAAGACTAATATGCTCACACATACACACACACAGCAAAATGACTGTGTGCCATAATCCCTGCTATTTGCATGGATTTAAGGGACGCATCATTCACAACAGCCTACCTTTGGCATGGCCCACATACATGTTAAACACTATGGATGTGACATCACACCAAAAAGATTAAAAGAGTGCATGTTAGCGCTCGCTTTGTGAGTTTTAGGAAGGTGGGGACCAAGCGCAGTACTATAATAGTCATGCATCCTGTTTCGTTTGCCTAAATTCCCTTAGTCACCATCTGAATATCGGCCATTGAAAAACCCATATTGGTTGACCAATACTCCCAAACTTCCAAACGTTTGGGCTATCTGGACCCAAAGCCAACTGTGACCAAGTTTGATCCCAGCCGATTAAGCCGGTACGGCACGAGTGTTTAGCTATACGTCAGGAACAACATGTCATCCCCCTGTATGTCTTCAGTTGTCTCAAATAAAAGGCATAAAAGCCCAAAAATAATTCAAAGGAACCCAAAATACATGCTAATTAATATGGAGATGGAATGACAGTGAAAGTCCCAAGCCTAAATTGAAACGGAGATGTTGCAGTTATACACTAGTGTGCCTTTACGACTAGGATTCCGGGCAACTCATGTTTCCACTCATTCACATACATATACAAACAGGTATGTGTCGCTACAACGAGTTTGAGTAAATAAACTCATTCATTCATTCATTCATTCATTCATTCATTCATTCTCTGTTAAGCCACCTAAAACGTGCGCTTATCCTCTGAAATCAGATTTTTTCTGTTATTAGAGTGGCATTCCCATTGCTGTCTGTTGAAAATAGGCAAAATGAGAGAGAAACACTCTGTGTGTGTTTACCTTTAGAGTTTCATGGTGTGAGACCGATGTTAACAATCATCTCAACCAGAGCCATAATTCCTAAAATACAGCAGGGGATCACGATTTATGTGACAATGCCAAAATTATGCCGTGGGACTGCCACAGTGGTGTAATAATACTAAACATAGCAACCTTAAAGTCAGTTAAGTGGCAATAATTATGTCCAAATATACAGTACTGAACCTGCACAAATACACAAACACAAAACAAGGCACAAAGTATTTTGCCAATCGGCTTGCTTCTGTGCCCCAGAAGCATTTCTGTAACACCAACAACAACAACAACTGGGCTCTTGACTGTGAGAAACGCCACAATGACCAGCTTAGATGGCAGACATGAATCATCCCTTCTGTTTGTGAGCTTTGTGGATCAACCAGTGCGGGGTTGCTGGGTGGGGGGTGGCACACAGAAACCTCATACACACATTACAATCCTCAACACAGTGCAGTCATGTTTGGGAGCACTTTCATTACATATACATATATATGACATATTAAACTTTGATGGAGCTTTGTTAAAATCCATCCACAGTGTAATTTGAATACTCTCTGCAATACAACGTGTTCTCTTTGGAGTCTAGCTCGCTGCTGAAGCACATTTACAGACATTTATATTGACTTGAAAACAACGCTTGTTTTTCAAAGCTGTCCCTGATTTTTTTTTTTGCTGTGGCCACAAACTTTATTAAAGTAAACATTAGTAACAATATAGCTGTTTCCCATTGTTTGTCTATGTATTAAAAGACCTGTACATTAATTTGGGTTGTTCTAATCCCATCTTTTGAATCTCAATAGTGAAGCTAACCGTTTGTTCACATCTGGATACAGGCTGTGCAAGTAGCTTTGAAGTTGTAAAAACCCCTAATGACATTCCCAAAAACATCCCACACACATTTTTCCATTTATTTAGCAAAGTTTTCCAAATTTTCTGTTAATTCTAACCAGAAAAAACTAATGTTGCTTTGCTCCTTTCCCAGTAAATATATGATCTTTTATATGAACAATAATATTGAGCCAGGAATATTTTCTTCCTCTTTACCCGCAATCTTTCTTTTTTATGTTTTTATGGTTAAACTTTAATTCAGTGGCACTGTAAAGTAGAAACACACCAAAGGACACAAACAAAGAGATCATAAAAACCTTGGAATCATTTGCAGGGACATGTTTTTATGTCTAGACACAAACACTTCTGCACCCACCTTCAGTCCATCGCTGGGTAGCCGATAGCCAAACCGTGCGGGCAGGTCATCAAAGTTCTCCGTTTTGTTGTCAAATGAGTACTGAAAGATAGAAAAATTAAGTTAATTTTTACACAGAACACAGGCCTGAAATAGCTATCAAGTTGCTACTGCTCAAAAAAAAGCAACGTGTTTCTGCGTAGTAGTGAAACTTCATTACACTGTTTCTATGTACCTTCCTTCAAGTATTAAGAATTACTCACAGCGGCGATATCGGCCTCCACGGGCAGCAGGTTGAGGAAGGCGAAGAACTGAACGGTGAAGATGGTGTAAATCTGCGTGGCAGACAGCATCAACATTCCCAAGGACAGCAGCATCTTGGCATCACGTTACGACCCCCCGCTGCTTTGCCACTCACTCAAACACACACAAACATAAACAAAACACACACAAATGACCATGCACACTGGCCTGCAGCGGAACCCGTATACACCGCCTGTCGTCGTCACACCTAGAAAAGACATCGGTGTTGTGTAAGCCTTAACACGTTGAAATTTTATTACATTTAAACACATAAAATTAGATTAACTTGCTTGTATCAGAAGCACCAACTCCTCACTCGTCATTAGATACCAGGAAGATAGTTTGACACAAGCTATATGACATTGTTTTAAGCAATGCCAAGAATCTAGTTTACTAAACTTGTCCTTGGAGCAAACTAGCAAACATAAAGCAGAGACAGGTAATGTGATCTGGCACAGGGTGGACTTCGACGCAATATTTATGAGGAAAATTGTATTGTCGTTTGTCCAAAGGGAAGCCCAAGGCCACGGTGAGCTAAAACAAAAGCAACCTTCTGTGTCAGTCGTTGTTGGCGTGTTAAGAAAAGGAGGAACAAATCATATTTGGCACCTTACATTAAATTTGTCAAACAGCTGTGGACTTTTTGTGCTATTTTCAGGTGTATGACTCGTGCCAATTGCTGCACCGGTGCGCTTTCCAAGCCTCGGTCTATTCCCATCCTGCATCTGGTCTTTTGATTATCTCACTCCACATGTGTTGGACCTCTGGAAGGTTCATGTGAAGTGGAATTTGGTAGAATTTATGCTTGCAGAATCTATTTGGTGAACACACTAATCATAAACACTGAACTCTATCTTCTGCGACAGATTAAAAGCAGAGCTGACATTTTAGACAACAGCAAACAATCAACAGTTTGTCAGGGGAAGCCTGAAGACAAGAAGCATCATTGATACTCCTCCCCACGCCTCCTTTTCACTGTTCTTATCTGAAGTTCTACAGACAGTTTGACAAGTGCTGTCCTATCTTGCCATTTGAAGAAAATACCCAGCAAGCATTACACACTCTTTGGAGACCACAGAAAAGGACTGAGCAGGAGATGGCAACAATTGTCTTTTACGGTAGTCATTCATTGAGCTAGTTCTTTGTTACATTTCTTAGCTGCCAGTTGCCCCATGACGGCTGGAGTGCACTTCAGGCCCAGCCTCACAGCAAGGGGTACAAGCTCACAATGTGGAGGGCAGCATGTGATCAGGTCAGGAGAACCCAAAATCCAAAAGGCCAAAAGGCCAAAAGGCCTCGCCAGGCTTAAGACCACTAAGCTACATAGTCGGGAAGTAGGGAAGTCGTGTTTTGAGGATTACTGTCTTAGTTATAAAAATAATAAGTGAGTTTTACAATAAAATCGATACATCATGGTGGTGTGAGAATGGGTCTGGATTTCTGTCTTTTTCTTGTCTTTACCAAATTCGTCTAGTTTATATTGCTTTACCTATTGTACTGTAGCAGTAATGCTTTGAACAGACAAGGACATCTAAAACAAAATACAGCTTCAGTAGCACCTGTCCTCATTTAGCACTTAACGCTGCACCGCGTCCATCTGCGGCCACTAAATTACTTCAACTGTAGAAAGAGGTCAGATTCATTTCATCAAAACATTTTGCCACAAACTAAACACGTTCTGTGAATATCTTTCTAGTAATGATACACAAAAAGTTCAGCTGAGAAACCCACTGATTTTTCTTTCAGCAAACTGAGAGCTACTTGTGAAATCACACCTGCGTTGTCTGTCCAATGTGCACAATTCACTTATACTGAGTACTGAGGTTCAATTCTAAGCCCGAATCACGTGTGTAAAATGGGAGTGAGGCTTCGTTATGCAACTTTCCATCTCTACTGTCCTACTAATGCTGCTTATGCCATGTCCCACAAAACAAGGTCTCTCAAACAGAGCACCTCCAGTTGAGCATGTCGCTGTGAGAGCATAGCCTGATTTCCTCAATCGAGATCAAACAATCAGATCATCCGTCCGTCCATCCATACCGTTAGAGGGATGTGGTGGTGGGAGAAAATATGTTAAGTTAAAATTGAACAAGTCTCCATTTACTCACTCATGCAAAGATGATAACTAGAGATGGGCAATAAACGTTACCACAGGAACAAAATACACAAGGGAGAGAGACAAGAAATAAATCTATATTGAGTGTGGAAGAGATGGATAATATTTTCTAATAGAGTATATTTACTTTTATTGCAATATTGGTAAATGTCATAATACCTGAATGAAATAGCTGACAGATCAACGCACTTGATTATATTTGTCCAAAAACCTCGTGACTTGCAATAAGTGCTGTGCAATGATTTGCAATATTACATGGAGAGTTGTACTGAATCATTACTAGGGCTGCACAATATGGTAAAAACATCATATTGAGATTACTGCTATTGAAAAATTTAATCATGATGTGAACATGTTTTCTTAAATCTGGAGAATACGATTTGTAGACCAGGGCACCTCTGCAGCACGACAGTACTTCGTTACTACGTTAAAATGCTGTTTTGTCACTTTTTACCTTCAGCAAAACATTACAGCTCTTGTGATTTTGATACTATTTCGATTCATTGTGCAGCCCTAACCATTAAATCAAAATCTCCAACAGCTGACAAATGTCTACTTTGTCTTACAGTGTACATCATCATCATATCACAAGACCTTAAATTGTTAATTTACACCAAAAGTCAGCATCATACAACATGTCATAGATTTGTAGAGGATTACAAACTTTAAAAAGCATTTTGCATTATGACACTTAAAATAATGATCGTTACATGATATGCATGAACTGTGTGGCAGGTGAGGCAGGAGGCTTTACACAGAGGGTCACAGAACCAAAGGGGAAGTGAAGCAACATCACTCATGATTGACTGTGAACAGATGACTAAACATCAAATGACAGCAACCACATGCTATTTTTGAAAAAAAAACACAGTATGAAGTAATGGTGAGATGGCTAAACTCACAAACCAGTGTGATGTGATTTGATGAGATAAAACAGCAGAATGACAACACTGCTCACAAGAAGCGTCGGAGCACACAAATGACATTAAACTTTAGAAACCTCACAGGCTACTAGACATAACGTTTCACTAACAAAGCAAGCAGCGTTCGTGTCGAGAAATAACAGACAGCTAACACTTCTTCAGGGTGTGGTTAAGATATAAGACACCCTAAAAAGGTGTGCAGCAAGCTACAAAAACAGAGCGTCCTGTACCCGAGTTAGCACGACGCTAACGCAGGCAGCTAAGCAGCTCGCAGTGGGTGTTTACCTTTATGTCTGCCCGGAGGTTTATCTCGTCCGAGAACTTAGCTGCTGGCGGTGACATCGCCCTCCTTTGCTACGCGTCCTGTCAAGGAACATGTACGACAGCGGAGATTTTGCATGCACTTCATCCCGTTTGAACGGCGGCTCCGAGAACATGAACACAAGCGGTACAGTTTTAATCCCCTCCGCTGGCTCCTTCTTCCGCCACATGCGCCGCTCCACATCCGCCCTCTGGTTGGTCGATTCGCCTGCCAATCATTTCGTGCCGGAAATGACTCCAGACGTAAACACATCCACGTGATGGCACACAACAACCATTTGCTGCCTTTTACAGTCGCAAGGACTGCCGGAACCGAGCAGCTGGCCCGTGTTTACAGCTGCGTTACTGCTGCTTCAGTGCATTGGGAGATGAGCAGGCAGAAGAATGCGATGTTTCTGTTAAGAAACTGTTTGTTTTAAGTGGAAAAAGTATGTGATCTTTTACATCAGCACAAATGCTGTCACCCTTCCCCCTCACAAAAAAAGTATTGGAAACAGTTGAGGCTTTTAAATCTCTAGCACCATCTATAGTAAATGGGGTGCATCTTCTTTTTTAGGGGGATCCTCTGTTGCAAGCTACAAGTTTAAGCCTTTTTATGTAGAGTGGGGTGAGGGCCAGAGGTGGAAAGTAACTAGAATACTAATGTTTACTATACAACATGCAGTAAAGTGCTCAAATCTGATGCATTGATTACAGTAGCCTATCAAGAAGTATGAACACACAAAGCAGCGAGCCACATTGTGAAAGGGAACACTCTTCCTAGTGAGAAGTTTCTATTTGAATTTATACATTTTGGATGCTAATATTATTTATACTGGTTGCAGAACATAAAAATCAATATTCATAAAATAAAACCATAGATATCAACAATATACAACTACATTTCAATAAAAACTGTTAAATAAACAAAAGATACAAGAACCATTCAAGCAATAGCATTAAAAACTACACTTTAAAGTAAAATAGGGTGTATTTTGTAATTTTGTAATGTAATATCTAACATGAATCTACATTTCTGTATTTAAATTTTATTTGTGTTCTGATTTGAGCATTAAAATCAAAAGTCATCACAACTTTCTGGTCTCGAACCTTGAGAAACGAAGTCGCTGTTTACTCCGAGCCAAGACTGACTACAATAACATTGTGGACAGCTTCAGACTTTTAAAAGGTCAAATGTAAATTAGCAGTTCCCTGTAAAACTATCAAAGAACATTTCCAATCACTGTAACGTTCCTCCAACACAGTGTGAAACCAGTGGGTTGTCCTTCAGTTTCAAAAGGCAGAGCGAAGAGCTGACGTATGACCATGTTTCCAACTGGAGTCACAGTCACACATATAACTGTTGACACTTATCATACTGTATCGCTGTGTAATGTCTTTAACTACACCTGAACTCTGTTACTAAGAGTCCAGGCACGTGTGTTGAAGTCGTCTAATTGTAAAAACAGAGGTCAGGTGTACAGATGTCATGTGATTAAATCTAACTCTACTTTTGTGGCTCAATAACTGGAAACTGTTACATGCAACACAGCATTTTATTACAAATGCGGATAGAGTTCATCTTTGTGGTTTACACTGTGCTGTATAATATTGTACTTGGATTGTTTCCATTTTCTCTCTATAAAGTAATTTGAGTCTTGTGATAAAGAAACAAACTTCAACATGTGCCTAACTACAAGTCAGGGAGAGAAAAATAACAATAATTATAATGTAGGTTTATACCATGGACCATCCCAGGTGTGGTTTTATTTTTTTATTGAATTACTATGTTTGAGATTTTCCTATTTAACAGCATTTGAATGGTTTTATGCTGCATGTGGGGGGAGAACATTTTACCACCAATTAAATAAACCCTTTCAAACCCCAGCTGGGATTTCCATCGCCAACCCTAAAAATATAAGTCAACTTTTTATAAATTATACATTTTATAGATATAATGTTTTGAACACAACAAACATATAATTTGGATTTAAAACCATGTGTTTAGATCCCACTTTGAAGAGTAGTGTGCTTTCCCAAATACTCAACTCCTGCCCCCTCCCTACAGTGACTGCTTCTGAAGAAACACACCACACACACACACACTCCAACCAGTCCAACCAGAGCGCCACAGAGGAGCCAACCTGACGGAGGACGGATGTCCCGACAATGAGGGTCTTCATATGCTTTGAGGGGTCCTGTGAGCCTTTTGACATCCCTCCTGATCAGACAGTGGGGGCCATGAAGCAGATGTTGAAGGTAATAAAAAGCTATAAGAATAGTGATCCAGGGCCGTCACTGTTAATGGACTGTTAAGTTTTGACTGCATTTTGAAAATCTTCCGGATGACATATTGACTGTTTGATGGGTTTATCACATCTTTGGCATCATGTTGCTTGAAATGGTGAAATACTATGTATGTATTGCAATCTTATATATGTATTTCTGTGTGCGTGCACTGAAAATAACAGTTATTACTAAGCAAATGCTATTGTCATTTAACAAGAACTTGGTCACAACTCTATCACAGCTCCATAAATCTTTCATTCTTTCCTACAGGATAACTTTCTTGTGCAACTCACCAATGAAAAGCAGTACCTGGAGCTGAGCTACGGCGGTGCAGCGCTGCAGGACAGCTGGGCTCTGTGCGACGTGGGCATCACAAGTGGCAGTGCCATCCGATGCCTGATAAAGGTATTAAAACATCACAAGGGTTTAGAGATTAAGAGCTGTGCTGGGATTTGCAGTAAATACAATGAGCTAACAATGATGCACACTGAGAGAGGGAAGTTAAGTGCATCATCACTTTAGGCCAAACACTTCAGAAGCTGTTTTAAAAAACATAAACAGATGATTGCAGAGCAGTATTGACATTAAAATATATTTTATTTGCACAAAAACAAAACGTTAAAGAATTTTATTTATGTGAGATTCTGATGCAAAAGAAAATTATTTCCTTTCATCAATTTCAAACAACACTTCAGTGGGGTTTATATATTGCAGTCCCCTCATTCACTACATACAGTCAATGACACTTCAAAAACACTTCATGTTTTCACTTCAGGGCTGCTAATATTAGTATTTTACAGCATACATATTCATTACTTGGGATTATTTTTCATCAAAGACATCCTTCTTACTGTGAGTGAATTTATCCTCAGACTAGTGCACTAATAAGAAACAAGATGTTCCCATGTGAGCAGTACCTTGGAGGGAATTGAGTTTATGGCTGCCTGAGATCTTTAGTTTGTCCCCATTACTCAGTTTTTTGTATTGGGACACATTCCAGGCACATCACCAGGCAACCTTGTGTAAAACTTGACAGTGGTAAGCATATGTGTGTGTGTGTCCCTTTTCAGCTTTTGTTATCATTTAACATCCTCATAAAAAGTTTCTACAGGCCTTTGGTCTAATTTCTCTCTCCAGACTTTTGTATGTCTTAGTCTGAGACACTTTGCTTTGACATTTCACATCTTTTGTTAATTTCACGTGGACACATTTTTGTCCACTTTAATAGGTCACCCCTGGTTCTAAAATGTGTACTTACAGCATATTCAGTCGAAAACATTTGTATGCAAGATAGTAAATCATGTACAGAGTTTTTGAGGAGAGATCTATATGCACATAGCAAAAAGCATTCTAGGTTCTGGGTTTCCCTCAGCATAGTTATTTAGATAATTCAGTGTATATCTCATTCATTCCAGTAATAGCAAGTGGCCTCATGGTGGCAGCAAACTCCTCTTTGCTGTTTTCCTCTGTACTACTTTTGCTATATTTTACACTAAAAGATTTATGTCCAATATACAACAATTTGAGTAAACATGAACTAAACAAAAAACTACATGAACTAAAAACTACAAATGTACATTTTATGACCTATTTCCTATTAAAATGCAAATCCATTGTGCCATCACCATTGTTTTTCAGAGTAAACAAAGGCCTGTGATGTATGTGTTCAATGCTGTGACAGGAGAAACCTTACCAATCAGGGGAAGTGAGGCTCTTCCGCATATGTCCGTCGCTAGATTGAAAACTGTGGTGTCCATGCAAAGTGGCCTCCCTGTCAGCACCTTCAAACTGAGCACACCTACTGGTGTACAACTCTATGACTGCAACCACCTGGAGGACTACGCCATTAAAGTGGGTATGTCCTGCTTTTTCTCTGTGCTGCTATGTGATTGATGTATATAACTTCATAGTGAGGGCTGTGTAGCTAATTATTTTAACATTTGAGAATAGTTGATTCAGTGGCACGTTATATCATGTTTTTTTCATGCTTCTAAATGACTAAATTACTTTGAATTCTATAATGTGCACAACCTCCAGTCTGATCTGAAATTAACTAGGTATTAGGTATAGAGAGTTGAAGTCTGTCTCCATTCCACTTGCCTCTGTAACTCAATGGGTTTTTTCTCAGAGGTGGTGTCTTTAATCAGACTATTTGAAAGGTTGGAAAAGTAAAATACATTTTTGTTGTACATGGTCAAATTTGAGCATCTTGTCAAGATAAAAAGACTTATTGTCAGGATTCAACAACTACCGCCATGGTCACATATGTTGCATGACTTCACTTGCTGCACAGTCAGTGCAGACAGGATATAAACCTAGAAGTTCCAATATGATACACAAAATTAAATGTTTCAACCTACAGATTACATTTCATGCCAACTGTTTCTAAGAATGACGACAGAGCTTCACTTTCAGAATGAGATTATCACAGACGAGTAGAGAAGTTAAAATAGAAAAAAAAATGAATACATTTGATATTTAATGAAATCCATACTGTTTTTATTTGTATTTTATTCAACAAAGGCACTACTCTCCGTTTGGACACGTGGGACGGGTGGGTGGAGTTTCTTCAGGGTTGCCTCCTGGGCTACAGATTGACAGTCCAGAGCCACCTATCAGAGAATAAGCCAGAAATTAGGTCAGAAATTCCCCACATAAATAAGAGTGTGACTAGAATGGATGTGCAGTTTATCCATAACGAGTCAGAGTGCAGTCTTACCTACAAAAGAAAATCTTTCTCATCCTTCTTTTCCAGGTTTCAGCTGCAGGTAGCACTCTACATTGCTGCCTCTTTAGGCCACCTGGATCTGGCAGACTGGTTGCTGGAGAGAGGTATGCATGCTGAGGAACCAGTGGGAGTCCATCCGTACCGCCAGTGGTGCCACCAAACCGCCCACCGAGACACCGGAAAGTGTCCCATCCACATAGCTGCAGAGAACAGTCAGCTCCTCATCCTCAAACTCTTTATCACCAAGAACCTTTTGACCTTGGCTTGTCTGGACCCTGCAGGTCGTGACCCTTTGAAAGTTGCTATTCAGCGTGGTCACAGGGATTGTGTGCGCTACTTAGCCAACAAGCTGTGCTCAGTAGTTTCCCTGCCAAGCGTGTCCCTGCCCATGCGCGTTTACCTCCAGATTAAACGCTGGGTGCATTTGGGGCAGAAAAGGGCAGCCTCCAATCGATGCCAGTACACCAATGCAGCCCTCAAAGCCAGGGTGGAGGATATGTTGCTAGTAGATGGCTTCAACCCACCAAATATGTCTTCCAAATCTAGGAAGGCTGTGATCAGACCAAGTGGAGGAATTAAGGCCAAAGCTTTGCAGCCTTTACCTCCAATCAGCAACTTACTTTCAGTGCAACAAATCCCGTCCAAAAGGGCCCCACCACGACAACTCTCCAGCTTGCAGTCTGTGAACCCTGGTGGCTTTAAAGAAATGCAGAAAAACCGTAAACAAGATGTGCAAAGTAATGACGATGGCCTATTGGATGAACTCAGTAAGGAAGACCGCAGCTTATGCCAGGGCAAGTTTATACTGCCACCAATCACCAACAGAGAAAGAGTTCCGAGGCTGGTGTTTGTTGGTGGATCACCAAAACCTTCCCATATTCTGACTGCGTCCTTGGAGTCCTTCTCTCCCCGCAGTGGCCGAACACCGAGAGAAAATGCCATATACTGCATGACTATAGCCAGGTCTCTCCTTTGTGCTGTATACGTTCATGTGCAATAAAAACACATCCTGATTGCTCTCATAAATACCAACTTATTCACAGCAAAGGATAGTTAAAGAGAGTCAAATTATTTATACCACACACATTTTTTCTTCAGTAATGCTGTATGTTACTAGTTGCTTATTCAGTTTTTGTACAGATGTATTCACTGCTTTGGCAAAGTAGGGTAGTTGCATTTACTTTTGTGTAAGTGGCACTTGTACAGTAACTTATTAATTACATTAAAGGTGCTGTAGGGGCTTCTGTAATGAGACTGACCTCTGCAATATATTTTACACTTTGTGCCACGTGATTGGAGTTGGTGGGAAATCTGAATATATAGACATCACAATTAATTAATTAATGATTGATAGGGACTCACAGACGTTCACCAAATGATATACATGACATCTTTAGTTTACTGTGTGTAATGCATGTTTCTCTTGTACAGTACCTTCACAGAGAAGCCTTGGTTGAAGCAGCTGAGCATAGCACGGACCCTGATCAGGAAGCACGTCCACATGATGGCCTGATACTCATGGACCCTGGTGCCGCAGACAAGTCCAGATCTGTCACCCATCAGTCTGACTGCACCTCTCATTGGCTGGCTGAAACACGGTGGACAGCGAAGAATCCTTCAAAGTGACAACTGAGGAGTGTATCTCAGGCTTCATTGAAAATAAACCTGTCTGCCTTTATGTGCTTAGCAAGATCTTGAAGCAAGAGAGATAGACAGACATTATGGATATACACATATTATTAATGGATAATATAGACATCCTATTAATTATAGGATTTATGAATGTAGTCTTGTGTTTGACAAATGTCCAAGTAGGACTGGCTTTACGGTTGAAACGACTCGCCTTTGGTTTAAATTCAAGGCTAAGACATTCAATATTGGTAGTTATAGACTATTACAGCCAATATTAGGAATATGAGATCCTGCAGTCAACTACCACAGACAAGTTGATCAACAATCTAGAGAACTTTTTCCGTTGCCATGGTCTCCCTATCACCATCAGGCCTGCAGTTCATGTCCTCCCAGTCCCATTCTGCCAGGACAACATGACAATGACACCGAAGTGGGCAGGAAAGTTCCCAGACCTGGAGACAGATGCTGAACGAAAAGGGAAATCCAAGATTTACATAGACAAAACACAAAAGACATGGACTGAGAATGAGGAGCACCAAAATAAACACATTGCAGAGTCAGACAGGGACTGAGGGGACCTTACACCCAAGCATGAGAAACCCCACAGGCACATCAAACTGTTGCAGAGACTAACAGACATAATCATTAAATAAACACATACTAATATACTAACTATACAATACAAGGGGAAAAATGTGGGAAAATCTGATTTAAAAGACCAAGTTTTAGAATTTACTGATGATGTAATTAACAATGGACAATGCTTGGTACATGTGTAGGGGGAGCACTGGTGTATAGGGATGAGCATTCAATAAAGTTGGTGGTTGAAGTTTTCATATTATGTATATGAGCATGTTTTGTTTTTCAAATCAAAACATGTCAATAGTCCAACCACTGACCGATCTGATCATTGATAAAACCTCAGTCTGACAGGCTCCTGACAAAAGTCCTCTTGAGTTTACAATAATGTGACAGGTAATGAGGACCAATAGACATATTGATATAGTTTTAATCTGCCACAAACACTCTTAAATTAAACTGATACTGTGGCCTAGGCTATCCACACTTACTTACTTTTAATATGTGGAAATGATTTTTAAGGTGCTGCAGCGATGACTGTGGTTGCATGCAGAGATGCGCTTTATGTGGCTGCCGACCGCCCTTAAAAATCAAAAAGAAGAAGAAGAGAAGATGTGCTGTTAGTGGCACGGGTACCAGTGGCCTAGTGGTGCCTGGAGAAGTAGGTATACCCATAACGTATGCCCCAATTTCTTTTAAAACAGCCCATCCAGGGTTGGATGAAGGATAAACAACATGTGCCATAAACAGTAGTATTTGCACTTTGTCACTTAACTTCTGCTTCTTGACTTCAGGAAGTAAGGATCATTATGAAATTAACCGCCACAGAAGAGGTGCAGATTTTTGCAATCAAACCTCCAGGCACCGCGACCATAATGTTAAACTTCTAGCTCTTCATAAACTATTTTGGAGTAACCCTTCTCATTTCAGGCTTTACCGAGCTGTGTTGCATTTCAGTAAAAATTCTGTAGTAAACACAAATGTTCTCTTCCTTTATACAGTTACAGTTTGGTAATTTAGCTCAGAGCATATGAATTACACAAACTATAAGCTATGATATGTGCTCTCTCCTGTGTTTTACTCAGTTTACGGACCTTCTCTTTAACAAGGTCACTGGCCCTGCACCCTTCATGGCTGACCTGAAATCAGCGGCTGCTCACACTATAAGCAACACGAGAAGGCAGATGCAATTGCTATCCGTGTGCCCTAATCAGCTGTTTTCTGAAACATGAAAGTCACCACCTCCACCGTGCTATGTGGCCCTTACTCGACTTTGTTATTTGGGTAATGGTGCCAAAAACATATAGGTCTGAGATTAAGTGATGGCTTGGAAACTATAGAATAAATGTTTTTTAAAAGACTGTTTCATCATAGAAGTGCCTTTGAGCAAACCAAACCAGTAAACAGTGTATTATATATAAACATAAGGAAATCAAAATGATGTGAAAGAAATTTGGCACCTGTATTATTTGTGAAAGATCAAACAGACACTTTTTAAGCCTACAGAAATGTGTTTCATACTAACACTACTGTGGTTGCGGTCTCCTTTATGACTAAAGAAAGGCAGCATTTCTCACTGGACTGTATGAACTCGCATTTTAAAATCTTGCTGACCATATACAGATGGTTCAAAAGACCCAGACAGGCCATACAGGTGCTGCATTCTTCATCCCACATTGTGACATATCGGGGGAAAAGAGAGACCATCTGTCAGTATAGACTGTCTATTTAACAGGAATACTGTTAAAATGTGTGGAAGGAAACAATCTAATATAGTTATTAAATCAGGAAAGTCATCATGCAGTCAGGACATACTTTATGAGATTCATCACAAACGATATGGGCTACATAATACATACATATATACATATACATATTATTATTATATTATTATTATTATCATTATATACTGTTA